ATTTTGGAAGATGATAAAGCCATTTGATTTTTTTTTTTTTTTTTTTTTGATCTACGCTCCCAGCTAATACCACTAACTGTGGAAGGGAGATACACAATTTTACTGCTCTGACAGTGAAAAACACTTTATGATTAAACTGCTTCTCATCCAACTCCATGTTGAGGACACATGTCTTCTTCAGAGTCCTTAGATTAAACAGTGTATTACTGATACTGTAGTCACTATTGACACATTTTTTACTGTGATCATATTCCCTTTCAAGTTTGGAACTCGGTGGTATGGTTTTATTGCTGTCTATGCACCCACTTCCTAACCACACAGTGGATCCCATCCTCCTCATTTTTGTTCTGGTGTCTGGTTCTATTGGGTTTCATTGCACAATATTGAGTATTATGATATAAAGGGATTTAAGTTTCTTTTTGTCTTGGATAGAGTGGGGGGTTGTCAAATTGGAAAAATGCACCCCCCTCGTACTTGTGACAATTGGCACGGAGAAAGAAAGTGAGGTAAAATCTAAAATTTTACAGTACCCCTAAAACAAGAAGTAAGGTGACATTTTCTAATGGGGATATCTGTTTTGTATATAACTGTCTAGGAAGGGAATTCGCCTCACTTTACTTTCATTTCCACCACTGTGTAATTTGACTAATGTTTAGGTTTCTGTTCTGTGCTTTTGCATAAAATGAAACATGCTATAACTAACTTCTCTCTTGCAGTAAAAAGAAGACATAAAATAAATGACTGTTATTGTCTTTTGCAGCAACTGAAGATAGTTGGCCTGTACCAGTACCTGATCCAAGATGTGGGAGTTACAATATTAGTAACCCTAACAAGTATGTTTTCCTTTAACAAATAAGATCAACAGGGGCATTGGTAGGCTCTGGAACCCCAGGTCTGCTACTGAGTGTCCCAAGTGTTATTTGCAATAGTTGCCATCAACCCAAGTATGATCCTTCGACTTTGGTCATTTATTTTTGCCGAAACGAGTATATGCATGTTCCCCTTAAAATCATGTTGGGTAGATAATTATAGAACCTGACCTTTTTAATTAAGTACTTGTTTTCTACATTTACCTACTGGTACTACTAATTGATACACTTATTTCCTGATTCAGCAGTTCAGCTTCCTCTGTTACATGTTTTGTTTATTGGACAATTAATCAGCATCAAGAATGCTGTCCAGGAAACAGACCCACAAAGCAGAAAAGCTTTTGACAAGAATAAGCAAGGTGATCTTCCTGGCTATGCAGTATGACAGAGTTGTGTGAATCACACATTTGACTTTGCAGAATTATAACTCAGATAAAACAGTAAATCCATATGGGTGTGTGTCTTTAGCTGTTTGCCCAGTTTCTTTTCAATTATAGTGTTGCTAATGTTGTTGCATTAATCTATTTTCTAGATACACAATGCAAATACAATATTTTAAGAGTTAATAAAATTATCTGTGTTTACCAGATGAAATAATCTGTGTACAATGTTGGAGTATTTCTAAGGGAATCTGGTTCCTGGAAAAAAACAAATAACCCTCTACACACCCCCTCATACATGCTACTACTTCTGCCCCAAAAACAAGGGTTCCAAAAACAGGATAATGCAAATATTAAATGTACAGCCTTTTTCCAGGAAAAAGAAAAACTCCCCTTCCAATAGGGCTGCCCCCCATCCTTCAAGGGTTAACTGCTAGTTTATGCCTGGGATACCTGGGTACGGGACTTTTGCTTACCTGCTCCCACATGCTCCCTCCAGGCTCCAAGACCAGCACCCACAACCTCTTCCCCCTATACTCCAAATGGTTGAAGGCTCGCTGATATCATCATTTACAACTAAGGGCTCATGGCCCTGCATTATACCTGAGGACAGCAAGGAAAGGTCCACAAGCTGGAGTGTAGGGGAGATAAGAAGAGCACCTACTGCCAGGGGAGAGGGGGTCAGGTAACTAAAAACCACTCTACCCTGGTAGCCTAGACCTAAACAAGCAGGTAACCCTTGCAGTACAGGAGCAGTCCCACTGCAAGATAAGTTTTTTTTTTGCTCCAGAGATAGACTTTAAGCCACTTAGGCTGCACCCATAGGAAATAGTTATGTTATATTTTGAATGGCTGTAAAGTCAATGGGGCAGACCTAGTTAAGGAAGCCACAGGCAAGGTTTGGTCAAAGCCCACATGCAAACAGAACATATACAATAATTGTTAACCTATAGTTTATGTGACCATACCCCTCCATCACCTTTTTATATTTTTTTTAGGTCTCTGCACATGCTTTTGTTTCTAGCTGGTGGAAATCTTTTCTCTAATGTACTGTGTTTAAAAAAAAAATCTGGATAGTGGAAGTCCCATGATGCCAGATATATTGAATTCTTCTGCATACTACTACTTTCTGCAGACAACATACTAATTTTCTAAAGAATCACGGTGATGAAAACTCAGTGAACTAATATCCCCTTTTCAGCTGAGATAACTTAACTTCAGGAACGTTTTGAAAAAGATAAATGCAATGGTAGATGCCAACTGCCTATTGAACAAAAAAAACCACCATAGTGGTCTGTGAGGCCATTTACAGAAGTAGCGCAAAGTTGCCTTGTTGCATGATCCCCCTTTTTCTTCTTTTTCTCTTATTTACTTTTTGTGTCTCTGAAGGCAGTGGTTACAGTAGTGTGTATAGTGATTGTGCAGTCTGCCCCATCTCAATGTATAATAAAAGCATACACAGATTCCATAATGCTGAGCAGAGAAACTAGTAGAGCAATCAGTATGCACAGTCCTGGCTCCATTGTCTAACAGAGTAGAGCTCTGTCCTATGGTTCAATGGCACCACTGGTGGCATTCTGTTTTTTTTTGATTAGTGCCTGAATCCAGGTCAGTCCATTAAAATGTCTAAATTGTGCATTGAATGTTCAACCAAAACTTGAGTATTAAAGCCGAACTCCAGGCAAGAAATAAAATACACATTTGAATTACCTAGTGTACACTAAAATTGTTTTACCTAACCAAAAAAAATTGTACTGTATATGTCCAATCAATGCTGAAATTGACAGAGCCCTGCCAGACAATACAGCCAGCCTAAAGACCTGGCTTTTCTCTGCTGCAGTTAAGCCAAACAACTAGATTTCACTGACTCTAACCTATGATTGGTTAAGGGACAGCAACAGATTGATGAGGTAGTCTATACCCGTCTCTGGTGCTGCCTCTCCCAATCTGAGTACTACTGTGCACTATATTACATTAAAAGCACACCAAATTCAGCCACTACTAGTTGCAGTTAACGTACATTTAATGATTTTTAATTAATCGATAATTTCTTGTAGTGGTGCATTCTCTTTATCTGTCTGAAGTTCAGCTTTAAGCTTTGGGTAATGTGTTCTCAGGTCTATCTTTTTTTTCCCTTAAATATTTCAATAAAGTTTAATAGTACTATTGAGGCTTTATTGCTTCCTTAAGTTAAGCAGATCACACTGTGCTTGCTCATTTTATTAAGAACAGTAGACAATACGCTTACAGAGAATTTTGATCCCCACCACTGAACAGATAAGTTGTTACTAGAATTCTATATTGTTCTAGTACATGTTGTAAAGTCATTAAATCATGAACGTAGCAGCAGTGCCATGTGAATTCATTGTAAAACAATGGAAAAGATAAATGCATTTCTCAAAAAGTAGTAAGAACATCAACACAAAGCAATTTTTGTGAGGTACAAAGAGCTCTGTACTGGTCTTTTCTTGGCACGCAATTAAAATAGATCAAGTTAAATTTGATCTAAAACATAACTAAATATTTATTTCTATTACAGTGAGCTTATCACAGGCATATCCAAAACTGGCCCCATACAGACCTCCAGCACAGCTGATCTCACCACCTCTCTTGCTATCAGTCATCTTTAATGTGTTATTTAATACAGCCATCCAGACCTGCGGCTTTGTACTGGTGCAGCAGCAACCATGGTACAGCACATCCAACTTTAGGTATGTTCATATGACGTGGTTGTAAATTGTTAAATGCCTGCAATGAGGGTACCCACAATACCTTTTTTTCTTGTTACAAAATAAGGATCACTGATTGAATGTTAAATGCCTGCAATATGTACATAAATAAGGTGCTATAGTACAATAACTTGCATAACACATTAAAAGCTGAAGGTACACACTAATTAAAGTAGAAAGTTAAGCCTTAAAATACATACAACCAGCACAGCCTATCTGCTTAGTATTTCAGATTCTTATGAATGCACTGCCAGGGTTGGCATGCAAAGTTTTCATTTAGTTGAAAAAAAAAATAATCACAAAACTTCAACTTATTTTTACTGATACATTATTAGAACTAGTTTTGCCCATAATATGGAATGCTATCTGTACTTTCAGAAACACTTGCAGCAGTGTAAACTTTATACTAATGTTTTTATGTGCATGCTAATATTTAAATCCGTAGCCCGACCTAAGATCATTTTAACAAATATATAGGGGTCTATTCACTAAGCTGCCGTAGGCAGCCGAGTGACTAACCGATTCATAGATGCCGAACAGCAGTCAGTAAATAGCCGAATGCCACCGAACGGCATTCGGCTCGGCTGTTCTGCTCGTTCCCTCTTTGGGACCGAGCAGAATAGAAAAAATAGTTTAAAAAGTAGAAAAAAAAGATTAGAAAATGATTGTGCGGAGCCAGCAGTGACAGCTAGCTCCTCCCAACTGTTTTCTATTAGCCGGGCGGTTCTGCTGCCATCAGAAAAAAAAACCTGAACACACCATAGGAATGCATAGCTAGATTCCTATTGGCTATTTCAATTTGCAGTAGCCAAGCGCAAACTAGCTATTGCACCCGCCCACTGCTGCTGTCAATCAGCAGAGGGGGACCTGATGGAGAACTGCAGGTTCCCCTCTGCTGATTGACAGCAGCAGCGGGCGGGTGCAATAGCTAGTTTGCTATTGGCTATTGCAAATTGAAATAGCCAATAGGAATCTAGCTATGCATTCCTATGGTGTGTTCGTTTTTTTTCTGACGGCTGCCAAAACGGCTCCGATGTCAGAAGAAAAGAAAAAAAAACCAGAGCAGGGAAAGGTTCATTCTGCTTGATCGAGCAGAGTGAACCTTTCTGGGAGAAAGTGTTTCTCTCCCGGGCGGCCGGGAGTCTATTAGAGTCCCAGAGCGTCCGGGGGAGGAATGACAAATGGCGTTTCTGGTTACCAGGTAACCAGGAAGACATCTGTCATTACACACTGAGAACATGGAGAGGCCGCTCGTAACCAGGGACACTGATCTCTCTGAAAGTGTCCGGAGCCAGCCGTGAGATGACGGCTGGCTCTGCCCAGCTGTCAGAAGCAGGCTGTCGGAGAACTGGAGAACTGCAGCAGAGGGCGGGTACAATGCTAGTTTACTATTGGCTATTGCAAATTGAAATAGCTAATAGTAATGTAGCAATGTATTTTAATGGGAAATTGTTTTTTTTCCCCCTCTATTCTGACATCGCTCTGTGTCAGAATAAAGAAAAAGAAAGACACAGCAGTGTTTCTCTCCTTGGAGGCCGGGAGCAGTAGACTCCCGGGGCGCCAGGGACAGTTAGCTGTTTGGAGATCAGTGTCCCTGGTTAGCAGGTAACCAGGGACGCTGATCTCTCTGCAAGTGGCCGGAGCCAGCCGTAAGATCATGGCTGGCTCCGCCCAGCTGTCAGAAGCAGGCTGTCGGCCGGCCAGTGGCCGGCCACTCGGCCAGCTTCGGCTTTCAGCACGGCTCAGCCGAGCCGATGCATATGCGTTCGGCTTGACTGAGCCACTCGGCCGACTTCGGGAGCTGTACGGGCTATAGTGAATTGCCCGTACAGCAGCACTTCGGTTCTACAGAACCGAAGGGGTCCTGGGGCCGAAGCTAGCCGAAGGATCAGCCGAAGCTACAGCTAGATCATTCGGCAGCTTAGTGAATAGACCCCATAGTCTTTTTTAAACTGTTTTCAATCTACATGTGATTGAGTGGGATCTGCTTATGGCACATCTTGCCTGTATATAATATATACTGTATATACATGAAGGATTTTAATCACAAACAAATGCAGTTCACAAACACCTAGTATGTCAAATAGCCAATATGATGACACCACTATTCACTGTTGTAGTTCATATGGCCATTATCTGCCTTTACAGCTAGATCGAAAAACTTTCTTCCTAGTGCCTAATAGACATTTGGTTTGGTTTGCTGAACTAGTAGATATATGTTTTACTTTGCAAGGCACATACTCATTTAACTTACTGAAAAAAGTGAAGCTATGTATGTCCCCTTCAATTATCCAACCATGTTCAAGAAAAATACCTGTTTTTTTTTATTATTTCCCTTGCACATGAATCGGTATTCAAAGTGAACACATTCTCACCTTGACAACTAAGCTACATGAATAAACAAGAACAGAAGAAAATTTACTTTTTAGGCACTACCATGACCACTTCAATTTATATATAAAAAAATATATTTTATTGTGTACATGTTTGTTAAAAATATATAGCAAGGTTAAAATCATCAACGTATAGTCTTATTTACAAAACTGTGAAATTGTATGCCTATCTTGAACCTGCACCTCCACAACTGGTATACAATAAATAGTTAACCAGGTAATTTCTATGCACTATCATTAGTGTATAACCATGATCATTATAGATACTTTACCATGGGGAGGTACTTAACTTTTTCTCTACGCGTTTTATGGTACCACGGCTTCTTCAGGAGATTATGGGCATACACAGGACGTATGTTGTAAAGGAGCTTGTACAAGGGTATAGAAGTATAGATGTAGAAATCAGTTGGGCCATCACATATATGGCTGTGACCAGTAGTTTTAGTAGGAAAATTGTTTGTAAAGTAGTTGCATACCCTGAGATTTAGATCATCTGCATCTTTCATTCACCATAGGTGTCCAGCCTGTTTGTAGCATGACCAGACTAAGCTACATGAACATTCTCTAACTCTTTACTAAATCACCCCCATTCAATTTTCAGTACTGGATGTACCAAAGTAATGAAGACAATAGGCCGAGCTCATGGGCTATGTGTACACTACCACTTTAATTACCAAAGTTACAGTATAAAACACTAATTAATTAGAAAAAGGGTCCTATGTAGAGGTGTCTTAGCTTGATAGGAATATTTCAGACTTCAACAACAGACTATGTAGAAAATATGATCTTGTAGCGAAAAGCAACATCCACATGCTTTGTGTATAATAAAATATTGATTCCTAATTTTATGGATAAACACATTCATTTTATAATTAAAGTTTTATATTTTGTTTTAAACAAGTCTGAGTCTTGAATACTTCTAGGTACATGCTTATTTTTTCCAGGGGGATAGTGGAGATTGGGAATTATTTGTCCCCAATCTCCATATGCAGCAGGGAGGAAGGAAACCAGGAATCCATTTAGATCCCTGATGTTTCCACAAACAAGATCGTTTTCCCATCAGCGTAGGACATGGCACCCACAATGGGGACTTCAGGGTCATCTGATCAGTTTGTGAAGCCCCAGAGAGCCATAAGTCTCTCTAAAGAGGTCTCACTAATTCAGTAACATAGGGGAGTTATAAGTCCCAGTGTGACAGTCAAAATAAAAGGGTTTTTGAGATAATAACTCTAATAAATAATTCAAAATGCTTTTGTATAGTGAGGCCAGCAGAGTGTGTGTAGATTTGAGAGCATGTGATTTACAAGAAGTGTCCCACAGATGTAATGAGTGCAAGAGAGCATAGGTCACATTGTTACTTTCTTTGTTTTGACAATAACCATATTAAGATATCTATAAGATACAGAGCTGCCACTTCAGATTTGTCATTTATCCAGTTAGTTTGTAAATAGTGTAATAGAGTTGTGATACTTAGGTTTAACTGAGGTGCCCTACAATAATTTAGGAGATTTGGGACCCACAATCCTCCTGATTGTTTATGGGCATATAGTATCTTGTAGGAGACCCTAAATCTACTTGAGCCCCAAATATATTTTTGATACATGATTTAATTTTTTTCAGATTAGATGAGGGGACTTCAATGGGAAGTTTCTTAAATGTTGTAAAAAGGCTTTTGGCAGCAGGGTCACTTTTATTGTGGCTATTCTTTCCATCCATATAAGGGAGTAGGCAGACCATATTTCCATCTCTTCTGTCAGTATAGCAAAAAGGGTTGTAGTTCAATTTATAGAGAATACAAATGCCAGAGGTAAGCTTGATTTTCCAAGTAAAGCAAGGTATCAGCTTGCCAAGACAGATGGAAGTGAACTGTAGTGTTTGCAATGGCAGATTCCAAGAGGTTGACATTTAAGACTCCTGAGTTTCTAGGATTTAATTTAAGATGTGATATATTCCCAATGTCCCTCAGCATATATTTTTTAAATATTATATGTTTTTGAAACATTTGATCATGTATGATGGGATGTATAAAACACAAGGATATGCTTTTATTTATAAATACCTGTAAATACGTGTTTCCCCGAAAATAAGACACTGTCTTATATTTTTTTCCCCCAAAAAAACCACACTAGGTCTTATATTTGGGGATGTCTTTTTTTTTAATGTGCAACACAATGAAAAAATACTGTCACACACAGTGTCACAGTACCTGCAGGCAGGGGCGTAACTAGAAATCACAGGGCCCCATAGCAAAATTTTGTATGGTGCCCCGTAATTGCTAGTTATGCCACTTGCAGAGCCCTGCTCATAGCGGCCACCTGGGTCGCTATGGCGATTGTTACGCCACTGCCTGCAGTGTGCAGCTGTCCTTGAGCTCTCTTCTCTGATGCCGTCCAGGGAGCCACCTTTTGCAATCTGAGGCAGACAGGTGTGTGTGCGGGCGGTTGTGCGGGCGGGCAGGATGAAAATGGGGGTCTAGCTTATCACAGTGAAAAGGTTAATAGGTGTTCAGTTTTCCTATCTATGAAAGTTTGGAAACACTTAATTTAAAAAAAAAAAGGTTGACTTTAAAGTGAAACTAAATTCAGAAGTTGAAAAAAAAGTATTGGCCTACCTTTTTTGGTCATAGTTCTCTTTATGATCACAGGAGGGCATATAATATTTCCTCCTGTGACCCAAAACCCTAATAGCCCGCTATATGCTGACAGCGCAAAGCCGCGCTGCAGCCGGGATGGATGAATATTGTCTGGATCCACCCTGCCACCTGATTGACAGCTGGCTCTGCCTCTCTAAAGGAAGAGCCAGCTCTGCCAACCCCCTCCCCCGTCCGTTCCTCCAGTCAGCACTGGAGGAACAGAGAGGGGAGGGGGAATCCCTGTGGAGAGCGGTGACTGACAGTCAGTAATCTCTGCAGGGAGAAGATTGGGAACAGAGCGATCAGTGGTATGTGTTTGCTGAGTTCCCAATCAATAGAGCCAACGTGTGACAGCTACCGTGTCACATGTCAGCTGTAATCATGGGGAAGAGTGTATTTCATTCTCCCCATAATTTTCCTTTAAATCTTAAAAATTAATTCAAGTACCATAACTAATAACAATACTGCACCTTATGTGTGCATCACTTGGCTGTAGATCCTCAAATAATTTCTGAATTGTTGTGGACACTGTCCTTCCCTCTAGAGGGTGGCTACTTTTGTTCCCTATTGTCCCTGTGTGTGTTGTAAAGCAGCCTCCGCTCCAATGTGCTCCTGGATGGACTATAATCTTAATACACAGAAATAAACTAAACATGAGATTGTAGTGTAGTAGTTGTGGGTTTAGACCAGCTTTGTAAACCATACTGCACTGTACCCACCAACCTGTTCTACCTAGATTTTGTCCTGAGACACAATCTTCAGTTGCAAACAGCCTTTGTGGATCATCGAACTACTAAATACCATATTACACATAGCATGTTTGCATGCAAACAATATGATTTCTATTCTTAATGCAATAGTAACGTATCTTCTGCATATATGTTTTATTATTAGTATTGAACAAATATATTTTCTAATTAAAAATGCACTTTTCTATATTTAGTGCATGCACAGGTGGGAACAGTACCACACAAGAATTTTCTGAATTTGAAGACTATGAAACTACAACCTTGTGGCCAATAACCACAATCAGCTGTATAATTATTGCATTTGTGTTCTCCAAAGGAAAACCATTCAGGAAACCAATATCTACCAACTGTAAGTATATAATTATTGCTGTAACTTCTAAATAATTTTTAAAAATGTAAAGAAAACTGTATTCAGTGGAATAGGAAGTATTAAACATTTAATCTAAACTTGAATAAAAGAGTTTTTCTAATCTTAGACTAGTCTGAGAAACCTGATGGTTCCAGGATGCTAACTAGGAGTACTTACTTACACTCTCACTCATAGTAGACCACCAAAAGCTCTTCAACATTTATCCTTGAAGCGACCCTGTTGCCAAACTGCAAACTAAAAGAAAACAACTCCCTGTAAAGAAGGTAAATACCTAACTCACCTGCTGTCCGTGCTGCTAGATGCTACTCTGCTGAAGAGTAATTTCTCCACAAAGTCTGGTAAGAAAGCAACACCAAGATGGGACACAGTGGTGACATAAAGGACAGTAAATGGAACCAGTAAGCATTGTGGGGAACACAGGAGATCAACATTCCAGGAAGTGTTGGTTTCCTAGAAGACTTTGTCGGACAATTCCTCTTCACTGGTGTAATGTTGGGCAGTGTGGGCACCAGGAGACGTTAGTATTCACCCTTTTCTTTACAGGGAGCTGCTTTCTTTTGTTTCCTGGATCAAAGACAGGGTTATTTTAATGAAAACAGGGGTAAGGTCCGTAAAGTTAAAAACAAGAGGAAAACTTTGATTCAGGCATGGAGGGTAATACAGTCCTGTAAAATCGGAGAAAGAAAAATGTAAACTGTGCTTTAAAAGTGTTCCCACATACTGTATATTACCAAAAGCTTTGCAGAGTCCAAGGTCAGCAAAGTGGTCCTTGTTTTTCATTAAAGCTTCAAAAACCGACCGAATACACATCTAATATTTTTAGTCTAAACCTGATAAATTCTGCTTATCAAAAAATGATTTTACCCATAAACACCATAGCCAATCTTCTAGTATTTTAGAAATATTATGAGACATTTTTGAAAAGAAATGTTAAGGAGAGACCATAAGCAAGGGATTTATTTTACTTGGCAAAATACATCCAAAAGGTTACAATAATAAGTGACTTAAAATAGGGGCACAAGACATGAGATCAGAGACATTTTATAATGGATGGAAAGCCTTCATAAACACTACCTTTACACCAGCTGAAATTGCTCAGCTCATGACCCACTTTCACTATACAGTATGGTACCTGAAGGCCTGTCTGGCATACCTCAAGGAATCTTGAGATAACATAAGAATTGGGTTGTCTTAGATATTGTTCATTTTCTGTGTCAGCATTCAGTGGGGGCCCCGGGGGGGATCAGTACACTTCCTGGGTTCCTTAAAGATATATTGCAGTTGATCATAAGGGCACATGACCTGACACAATGTGATAGGGAAATAAAGAAGAAAAAACAGAGCACCATGTGATGTATATATAAAACATGAGACAGAAATATAGAGGAGAAAACAATAATGTATACCATAGCACTAAATGTAATTAATATACAATCTTTGTCACTTGCAGATATATTTTTTTGCATGCTGCCTATACAGCTGGGTGTGTGTCTCTTCATACTATTTGCTGACATTCAAAGCCTTTACAAAGCATTACAAGTAAGTTTTAGAGTCCATTATAACTACAGTATTATCCTAATCATTTATGAAATAGATGCAAATCAAAATAATGATTTTCTCTGAAACTGTTTTCACATTTGGTAAATTTCACCGAAATGTTGCCACGCATTCTAACATTAGTAAGAAATGGTTGTTTGGTGTCATCATGCAATAAATACAATGAAAAGTGTTTGTATCTGCACTGTATTAAGCAGATTAAGGTACATTTGTAATGAGAATTTATTTATTGTGCATTCAGCAGCTGGCTAGAGCAGCTTTACATTTCTGCTTGTAGATTTTCGGCTGGCTACAGAAGGTTACTCGTGACCCACAGGGATACCTCTATATCCAGTGACTTAAAGAAGAATTCCAGGAATTTTTTCTAACTACTACACCCGCACTGCAAGGATTACCGTATTTTTCGCTCCATAAGACGCACTTTTTTCCCCCCAAAAGGAGGGGAGAAATGTGCCTGCGTCTTATGGAGCGAATCCCGACGCCCGAGACATGCAGTTTCGGGTGTCGGGCGAGTAGTAGGAGCCACTGCTCGTTTAATACGAGTGATCTAATGAGATCACTCGTATTAAAGCCGAGCAGCGGCGGCGGAGATCGAGTTCAGCAATAGGAGCCACTGCTCGTTTAATACGAGTGATCTAATGAGATCACTCGTATTAAAACCGAGCAGCGGCGACGATCGAGATCACCATAGAGCAGACGAAGAACGGGCGTTTTTCATCTGCTCTGTGTGATCACTGAGACCGTGGCGCTGTAATCACAGCGCCACCTGTCTCAGCGGTCACTAACTGCAGCTTCTGTCACAGCTTCTGTCGTAGAAGCTGTGACAGAAGCTACAGTCTGTCGAGTGCTCCATAAGGCGCGCCGGACCTCCCTGCGTCCTATGGTCCGGTGCGTCTTATGTAAAAACATTATTGTTATTATACTCACCCAAAGCTCTGAGCCAGTTAGCTGCCACAGCACTCCCTCCAGCCTGTCTTCCCCAACATTGCAATCTTCTTCATCGTCCTCACGTCTATACATGGTCTATAAACGTGATGGTTTACAAGACCTTAGACCGCTGCAAGGAGGGGGAGAGAGACGCTGGAAGGACCGGTCTAAGAAAAGCCAGCTCGGAGCATCAGGTGAGTATAACTTTTTTTTAACCTAGACACAAAAGAGCACTTAGCCCCACTGCAAGGGTTAATAAAAAGTTTCCTAGAGGTCTTCTTTAAATATGGCTATTCTTGATTATATCTTTCCACAGGCCATGAGTGTCCTTATACTTTTGCAAATGTGTTTGATTTTTTGTTTTATCTTTTTCTGTTTTAGCTTGTCTGCACTCCGACTATCTGGAGAATTGCTATATTTATATTATTGCTCATATTCTTTCTTGTATCTTACGCTGTTGAGGTAAGATGGCATACAAATGATGTGATTTTTTTTATCTAAACAGGGGTAAAGACACTCTCAATACTTTCTTTTTTCTATAAAATATAAATCCCGAACTCTTTTTAGGTTTTTGACTAGCATTGGGAAGGGGTGAGACCTTTTATTGTTATCTGTATTCCAATTGGGGAGACTTTTCCACTCTTCCTGTGTGAAACAGGAAGTAAGCAGCAGCTCTGCGATGTGAGGTTGATTTACTTAAGGCAAACAGGCTGTTCACTTTGCAAGGGAATTTTCACCTTGCAAGGGAATTTTCCCCTAGTTTATTGAATGAGGGAAAGCTCCTGTGCAAATTCCCTTGCAAAATGAACAGCCTATTTGCCTTTAGTATTGTCACTTAACTACAAAGAATGTAACAAAAAATGCAAACTAGAAATCCTAAAACTGAGTGCGAAAAGTAGACATGTGCACTGCCAAAAAATTTGTTTAGTTTCGTTTCGTTTTAAATTCGGATTTGTGTTATTTCGTTTTTCAGGATTCGGGTGTGAAAGTCAATTAGGATTCAGTACTCCATTACAAAAACTAGAGGCCACCACCTAAAATTGGTGGAAAAAAAATTCCAGCACAAGGGGCGAAGGGGGTTCTTCACAGTAAGATCAGTTAGGGTCTGGAACTCACTGCCACAGGCGGTGATTTCAGCAAATAATGTGGAATTGTTCAAGAAACTTTTGGACGATTTCTTAAGGGACCGTAATATACAGGGGTACAGGTACTCCTAGAATGAGATCCTAATAGGTTGGACTTGATGGACTAATGTCTTTATTCAACCTCAAATACTATGTAACTATGTAACCCCCTTATGTTCTCTTACTTGAGTGCCCGATATCACACAATACTATACTATGGTAATCAGGCTTTAACAAGAGCTAATGTTCCCCATATGAATAAATAATTTCACAGAAATCTTACAATAGGTTCTCCCACCATAGTTATAAAGTACAAGGGAAAGGTCTTCTCTTAGTGTATAAATATAACATAAAAGGGTTACACAGCCACAAGGAACGTAGGACAAGGCCACAAGGAACGTAGGATAATCACTCAAAGTAGGATAATGCCAAGTGTTTCTATTCACGGCAAATAGGAGCATAAAAATTCTGAAGGGGAAACCTTCTTGGAGAAACTTCCACAATATGGTTGATAAAATAGGAAAACTTATTTATTCCAAACGCAGCGTGTTTCAGAGCATAACATTGCTCTCTCTTCAGGAGTACAACATGCAGACTAACAATAAAGTTTAAATATCTCATTATAAGGACCCACCTCTTGATTAGCTCAGAAAAAAAAAGTTCCAATTACCTACTGTAGCGCTCACCCCCAAAGGAGCCGCTCAATATTGAAATAGGTTCTCCTACCTGTTGGTTCCAGCTGCCAGTCCCCTTTGATCAGCAACAGCACACCGACACTCACGGACAGAACGGCTCGAGTCTTAGGGTCTTTTTAGGGTATTTATTTGCAACATCAATAGGAGAGAGAGGGTTTAGGGTCTGTAGGATGCCATAGGAAATACTTCTGAGGACAGCTTTCTCCCCTAGCAACCGCTAAGGCCGAAATCACTGCGATCTGGTCCCAGAGACCAATAGTAGTAGTAGTAGTAGTAGTACTGTGAACAGATACCTGGAATAGGGTGTGTGATCTCCATTGTCGGTCCCAGACGGACGCTCGCACCAGCTCCTCTGCGGTACCCCTCAACAAGCGGACTCCTCCCCGACCCAGCTTCCATCAGGTATTTTCCTCTTTAGGTTCTGGAACTTCTGTACCCTCAGCATCTGCAACTGCCAAGGAGCACTCCAGTTAAATGAGAGTATCTTCTTAGAACAAGGCACCCAACACCTGCCACGTGTATGGGCCCAGTGAAGTATCAGTGTATCCTTAGGCCTCCAGGCCCCTCAGCACCTGCCATGTGCTGAGGCCCAGGCCATTTGCTCTGCATCACACACAGACCTCCTAGGGCAAAGCCCCTAGGGGGAAGAGAGAGCTCTCCACAATGTCCCCAGACCTTTTATTACCTGCCCTCAACCATGCCTCTGAGTCATCCTACTCAGGGATTGGCTAGGGTCAGGTGCATAGTTATAACCTGAGGATGGATCCTCCCTCACTGTATACGAAGGCTCCCTTTTCCTCAGCAACAGGAGGAGCAATCGATCCAGCAGACTCAGGGACACCTATAGAATGCAGAGCTCTGTATAATCAGTATCTAGACTGGTTACAGTCCAGGTATCTCTAAATTGAATAGCGACATTTTAGAGGGCGCTACACTACCATAAGTCAAGGTCCACAGCTAACAAATATATGTATAGTACATGTGTAAAATATAATACATCTGAAATTGACAATCCAGTCCACAGGAAAAAAAATCAAATGAGAAGATTGGTACCTCCAACACATCTCTTTACTACACGCAAAGCTAATCAAGAGGTGGGTATGTCCAATGGAGGAACAATGGGGAGCACTGTTATGCTCTGAAATGCTTTGAGTTTGGAAGAAGTTTTAGTATTTCATCAGCCAGATAGTTGTAGACTTTCCAAAAAGGTTTTCCCCTTTCTTTTATGACTTTATTTGCTTATTGCCGTGAATCGCAAGCCTTTACTTGTGGATGTGTAACCCTTTTATACCAAGAAGATACACCTAGAGAAGACTTTACTCTCCACGTTTACAGCTATTTCTGCTAAATGTTTTCATCCATGACAGGGTGGTCTTTATTATTATCTCTCTCCTGCTAGGGAGGCTTTCCTCACTTCCTGTGTGATTACCAGGGCAGGAAGTAAGAATGATTTCCCCAATGCTAGTAAAGGCAGTAATAAAATAAAATAGAGGTGCTCTCTATTGTTCCCAAATTAAACAAAGAAATGTAGAACATTTAACTGTCCAGTGCACTTCCTTTGAGCATTTATGATTTGGGTTATAGATGGGTTGAAGTATAGGTTTCTATAATTAAAACACTTAAAGGACAACTTCACTTTTAGTGCCATTGTCCTTTAAATTTTGCCCCCTCCATTAATTGGAAGCCAATAGGAAAATACTTGACTTCAAACCAGTTCCAAGATCTTTACAGTGTGGCCCTGCACAACACAGCCTATGTGTAAAAAGACCTGGCTCTGTGCCGCTCATCCATTCATTCCTATTGCTAGGGCCAGACTAAGGGCTCTCTTCCCAGTGATGTGACATGAGAAGAGAGGATCATAAACTAGACACTTCCTCCGGAGACTGATTTCTGTTGTGACCCCAGTAAACTATGCTCCAGCTATATGGTAATATTCTTCATGTATTTCAATATGTGTCTCTATATGTGTGCTTTATGGAAGTAAAAATATATACAGGTATACAGAGTATTTCTCATTTGCTATACATTGCTTCATGCTTTTGCTTCATACAATTTCACCTCATTTATTAGCAGTCTTTGTTTATACTGCTTGCTAAACTGCCAAAAAAAAAAGTTAAGTAGAATAAGTCGGAACGTAACTAATTTCTTTTCTTCTTATTTTTTAGGAAGCTGTCATTGAAAATAGACGACTTTGGCTGTTTTTGAAAAGAATATTTAAATATCAGTCGCATAGCAAGTACAGGGTATTATATAGAGCTCTTCAGAATGATCCCAGCTGGCCTCCTTTAAATAACACACAGTATGCCATATCAGATGAAGAGAACAATGGTGCAGTCTATTGTAATCCATGCTACAAGAATGATGAAATCCATAGTTGATTAAGGGATTACATGTTAACTTTAGGAGTGTATATTCTGTGTCTGAAATGATGGGTTTTGTGATGAGACTTCTTGCCTAGAAAAGAAAGGGGAAAAGGTCTTACAGCTACATTTTAAAATGTCAGCCTCACTTTTTCCATGGCTCTTGAATTTTCTCTGCAACATACAGTGCTTCATACTAGATAAAACTGGCAATATGGCTAAGCTATAGAACAGAACTACACTCTGAGAACCAGTGTATTTCAATGGCTGGTCTGCCAAACAATGTAAACATGGACTTAACTGTTGTGTGAAGGGTCCTGTGGGACCTAGCCATGCACATATTAGAGGTTTAAGAATAATGTTAGCCACAACATCAGGGTATAACTCTAGATAAATGAAGTAGTAAAGATTTTTAAAGTAGACCAAACTAACTTGGCCTACCTAAAGTAGGCCAAGTTAGTTTGGTTCCAAATGGATATTTGTACGAATTGTATTAAATTGGGACACTTGAATGCATCCGAATTTCCAAATTTGAATGAGTCCGAATGTGAAAGAATCTGAATGGTCCTTTAATGAATATTCAGATCTGTCCCAATTTCATTCAAAATGAAACTAAATTTGACATGTGACTGATCTCTGGCCAATCAGATCAGCTTTTTTGGCTGTTGGGGGTTGCATTACAGGCTGCGGTCGTGTGACTCCGTGCAGAAACGAAAATACGGATGGATCTAAAATCCGAATAACGAAATGAATCAAATCGCGGATCCCAATTCTAAAAACAAAAGTAAAAAATGCAGAATTTATCTGAAATTAAAATGGGGTTACATGTCTAGTTTTCACGGTTTTGCAAAAACAAACAATTTGAAATAAACATATCTATTATTTATTAACTCACTGCAGTTTTACTCTCAATAATTAGTAGCGACTGTTTAGATTATTTAGGTGTATATTTCTAAAAGATATTGTTTTAATTAAAGTGTGCGCAAATGTCATGTATTGCACAAAATCAGTAGTACTGTTTTTTTATTTTACAGTTCCTGGATTTTAGAAAAAAATAAAATGGTCTTTTGCTAAATTTTAGATTTGTAGCATGCATGTATAAAATGAAAAAAGTAATTAGCCAGCAGAGGTACACAATGGTAAGCAATGCTTGGCAGCAAAATCAGATAATTAATTCTTCATTGATTTAGGGCAGTGCGATAAAAAGATCCAGCTTTTTCCCCAGCGAAAACACACCTTCTATAGGGAGGAATGGGAATGCATTTAAAACTCTTCTAAAACACACCACAGCTCAACTACACCACTTTACAAAAGTGCAGGCATATGAATGTAACCTAAATGGGAACTATAAGCTTTTTAATGATTTTTTTAGATGAGCTAGTGAAGACATGTCAATGCCTAAAAAAACTTACCAACAACATTTTTGGCAACACAATTCACCACAGTGCATAGCATGTGGGCTATGCCAGCTCACGTATGAGTGTTATACTACGTGTAAATGTCAAGCCTGCCTTAGACATAAATGGAGATTATATCGGTTGGATGTATATTTAATGCACTATGGTACCTACTCCTACACTCAAAGGGCCAAGTGCCACCCTAGTGCATGACTATAACCCCCCAAATATTATGCAAATACTTGCCCCCCCCCCCACACACACACACACACAGACACACACACAACACAGTCTTTTGGGCCTATCAAAAGACAGCAATCATTGCATTAAGTGAGGCCACATGAAAACAAGACATCTTGTGACTAGAGGAGAGATGATGTCACATATCTGCCCCCTATTTCCTCCTTCAATCACAGAATGTTTTGTATTCTTTCAAAAAAATACAAGACATTTTGTAAATAGATGATAGTGAAGTGGGGCTGGTGATGCGACTGGAGTGCTGTACTGCTCGAGTCGCATCTCTCCCTCTCTTCAGTGCCTGGAAGCTGGGCGTTGTGTGCAAGGTAAGATTTGTTTATGCTTTGCAGCAGCCCTCTGCACATCTTTTAAATGATAATTTACACACCCAATGCGGTGTGTACATTTTCACTTTGCATGGAGTGTGACTTTAAGCCTTTGTTGGAGACACTAAAAATAGTTATGACGCAAATAAGGCAGAAATGACTGATAATATATCTGATCTGTGGAATAGGAATATACAATGCATAAGTGTGCACTTGCAGAGCTAAAACGAGTTTATGAAAGCTATAAAAGCTATAAAAGATTACCTGGATAACATTCTTCACTTCTATCCAGTATTAATACAGAGGAGTCTATTCATGACCTAAGTAGCTTTACAGCCTTTAACCAACATAGACACATTGCATTTTTGGAAGCCAAGTCGCAGACAGAGGACAGGATACTACAATTGCATGAAACTGCAATCTGCTACCTTGTTTCCTCCAAGCTTTCCAAAAGATTTCCTAGATCACTAAGGTCCCACTCACAGTGCTAATTGCTTGGATTCTGCTTGAAGCCAACCTCATTGAGTAGTCAACTCACAATAGCTTGTGGTAGAAGCTAAGACAGAACCTTCCTGCATAAGAGCAAAGCGACAATTAGAGCAAAAGCTGCCGGAGCTTTTGCAGATAGAAATGCAAGCTGCCTATGCATGAGCACAGTTAGAAAGGGAAGCTGCCCAGTTAGGAGCACAGGCTGCCTAAGAATATGTGCAGGCAGAAGTACCAGTAGTAAGGAAAAAATGAAGCAGCCGCTTAGCCAAGCTTAGAGCTTTGGAAAATGTCACCGAGGAAGAAGAAGAAGTCTATCATCCTATTTTGACAGCCTCTGATGACCCCACCAGATGGATCTTGCAATTAATTATAAGCTAGAACAATGTCAACACAGATGCACAGGACTTCAAGCCAGGTGTAGTGTGTGCTGGAGTCACACAAGGAACAGCCTGGGAGGCCGAAAGGTTTGACAAGGCTGAGAGAGCCATGCACACAAGGTGTGTGTTGGAATCAGAACAAGGGATCTCAAGTCTCCCTGATGTTCAGTGAGTCTCCCTCTTTTGGACAGCAGCTCCCTGATGTCCGCGAGAGAGGCATTTTCTCCCTGAAAGGTTTACTCTGAGTAAACCTTTCCGGTAAGATATCAGTGGGTAAAGTTTCAGAGTGAGGCTTGCCTCCTGGAGGAAGGTCATGTGATCTCTAGAGTAGCCTCAGAACGAGACTTGGCTCTCAGAAGGAAGAAGCTACTTGCTGCACAGAGAGGGCGGACATAGACTACTATTGAGAGCAGGTACAGGCACTGAGAGCTACTGCTGCAGGGTTGAGAGAGTGCTGTTAACCCTTTGTGGATAATATAGAATTAATTATATGTCCTGGTTGTCTAGTTATAGAGAACATTTATTTCATTTGCAGGTTAGGATGTCTGCAAAAGCTGCTAAATGGTACAGAGTACTACTGAAAAGGTTTTGTTGTGGAAAACAGTAAAGTTCTGGGATCGGGACACTGTGACTGGACAACCTGAGAATTGTGCGATAATCTGTTTGCTGAAATACAAGCATACTTTAGGTTGAACTGCTGAAGAAAGCTATCTTCTGTTACAAAAGAAATAAAAGACTGTCCTTTTTCTGTTAAAACGGATTCGAGACTGGTCCTTAAAGGGTTTCTAAACCCTCCATTTTTTTTGTGTATATCTACTGCTAGGAAGCAGTAGATATATGCAAAAAGTAAAAAAAAAAAGCGGTTTAAACTTACTGCTGTCTTCGCCGCTCGCTCCCGTCCGAAAATCCGAAACTGCTCGGGCGGCCGCAAATTATCTTGGGGCGGGCGCATGCACAGTTCGGATTTTCGGCCGGGAGACAAGGAGAGACGCAAGGTAAATCTATGGACGCGTGCACCCGCATGCAGACACCATGGGACAGGGAGTGCCAGCAAGGACAGAGGAGTCAGCGCTGGATCGGAGACATGCAGCAGCGATGGAGGGACAGATGAAAAGGACAGGAAAGAAGAGGAAGATTGGATTAAGAGACATCATTTAAGGTAAGTGCTTTACTTAACATTGGGGGGAGGGAAAACATTTTTTGACTTTAAGCGCACACCATATGTGCTAAATATCCCTCTTGTAAGTGAGAGTCTTGGAAGAGCTGGCTGGCTCTTCCTCTAGAGAGCAATCTGAGATAAGTGTAATTTGCACTGCACAATGTTACAATGGAATGGCAAATAAAAGTGAACTGAAGTTATGGAAGTGGCCTTTTATGGCTAGGGATCTCAAGTCTCCCTGATGTTCAGGGAGTCTCCCTCTTTTGGACAGCAGCTCCCTGATGTCCGCGAGAGAGGCATTTTCTCCCTGAAAGGTTTACTCTGAGTAAACCTTTCCGGTAAGATATCAGTGGGTAAAGTTTCAGAGTGAGGCTTGCCTCCTGGAGGAAGGTCATGTGATCTCTAGAGTAGCCTCAGAACGAGACTTGGCTCTCAGAAGGAAGAAGCTACTTGCTGCACAGAGAGGGCGGACATAGACTACTATTGAGAGCAGGTACAGGCACTGAGAGCTACTGCTGCAGGGTTGAGAGAGTGCTGTTAACCCTTTGTGGATAATATAGAATTAATTATATGTCCTGGTTGTCTAGTTATAGAGAACATTTATTTCATTTGCAGGTTAGGATGTCTGCAAAAGCTGCTAAATGGTACAGAGTACTACTGAAAAGGTTTTGTTGTGGAAAACAGTAAAGTTCTGGGATCGGGACACTGTGACTGGACAACCTGAGAATTGTGCGATAATCTGTTTGCTGAAATACAAGCATACTTTAGGTTGAACTGCTGAAGAAAGCTATCTTCTGTTACAAAAGAAATAAAAGACTGTCCTTTTTCTGTTAAAACGGATTCGAGACTGGTCCTTAAAGGGTTTCTAAACCCTCCATTTTTTTTGTGTATATCTACTGCTAGGAAGCAGTAGATATATGCAAAAAGTAAAAAAAAAAAGCGGTTTAAACTTACTGCTGTCTTCGCCGCTCGCTCCCGTCCGAAAATCCGAAACTGCTCGGGCGGCCGCAAATTATCTTGGGGCGGGCGCATGCACAGTTCGGATTTTCGGCCGGGAGACAAGGAGAGACGCAAGGTAAATCT